TTCCATATCTTTACTCAACACTGGCGCCTTGTTAACATATCTTTACTCAACACTGGCACCTTGTTTCCATATCTTTACTCAACACTGGCGCCTTGTTAACATATCTTTACTTAACACTGGTACCTTGTTACCATATCTTTACTCAACACTGGCCAGATCACTGCCAGACTCTTGACCCCTCAGCTGGTTCGTCTGAGAGGTGTTTACATGTGTTCTCAGTCTGTAAACAGTTGTTTCATTATACACAGGATGTGGCTGTGTCATCGTTAACAAGCTTTAACTAGGTTGCTTATAGAATGTTTTACAACAACGAGTTTGGCAGCAATCCAGGCGGACATAAACTCTGGGGCTGATGATGGACAGTTGTTTGGGTTCAGTCCAGGTATAGTAACAGCAGCAGGTTTTTATTCATGCTGCTGTAGAAACACCAAGAGCACGAACCCAGATCCCAGAACTCACCACCAGGGTGTACTCCACTCTGATGATGGGACAGTCCAGGATGGACGGGGACACTGGAGGTATCTTCAATAGCTTGCCCTCCCAGCTTTGGCTTTTTCCCTGCTGCAGAGGATCTCCTCGAAGGCTGGACACCAGCTGCTGGATCTGCTTGCCTTTGCCTTTGGCAAAGAAGGTCTGCGTCTGGTAGAGCGCTGCCTTGGGCACCACAACGCGAGACGAACAGTTTTCCACCTCAGCGAAGATCTGGATGGACTCCCCTGGGAGAGAAGGGGAGACAAACCAGTCTGTGAGACTGAGAGAAATGACATCCAGTAAGTGGCGTTCAAAGGAAAAAATGACAAGGTGAATTTACAGGGGGGGGGGGGTGTTACCTGGTGTGTAGCCCTTTCGTTCTATTTTGGCACTGAGGGAGATTGGACCTGAAGCACAGAACCAGCAGCAGAGAGTCTTCTCCTTGGTTCCAGCCTGGGGGGCCTGGTCAAACACAACCACTGACTCTGGTTAGCTTCACTCAGAGTTCTGACAACGTTCGATGAACCATCAGAGACAAAAAAAACAAAAAATAAATAGGTCACTTCTTTTGTCGGTCCCTCCCTCCATCCCCCACCCCCCATACACACACACACTGCATCCATCAACCTCCTCTGTGCTCCTCCTCCTGCCCAACATGTCCACACCATCTCAGCCTCGTCTCTCCAGTTTGGTCTCCAGCTCAACCTGAGCGGATATTTTTTTTACCCTGACCTTTTGAGTCCCCCCCACCCCCCAGTGAAGGTCTTAACGTCTTCATCACTACCACCTCCAGCTCCTCCTCCAAACCAAACATCTCTGCAGGTCTCACTTCCATCTCAGAACCTTCCCTTTCACTCCTGCAGCTCCTGTCACCCCCTCCCTCAGACACACTCATGTCCATCCCCTCCACCTTGCCAGCTGTCTCTTCCTCACCTCTCTTGAGTTATGCTTGTTGCTATGGACCTACCCGTCTCCCCATCACCCACAGATCAGACCTCCACCTCTTCAAGCTCGTCCAACTACTTTCTGGTAGAACTCCATGTGGAAGCATGACAGTCCAGGAGAACGCCTGCCTGAGCTCACCTGTCCATCACAGCTAGCTGGATAATCTCTTGTTGTGGTTTCTAAACGTTTTTTTTCTTACAGTAGGTGTAAATCAGATCTGAAGCCGTGTTTCTCCAGGCAGTGGTGGGATGTACTTAAGTACACTTTTCATGCATCTGTACTTTAGTACACTTTTCATGTATCTGTACTTTACTTGAGTATAGTTAAACATGGGTACTTTTTACTTTTATTCCACTACATTTTACATTAAGTATATGTACTTTCTACTACACCATTTCTATAATGCGTTGTGTTACAAGTTACATTCATGTTGCAACTTTTTTATTTGTTCGTTAATTTGAAAGTAACCAATGGCGAGAGGGGAGTTGGTACACTGAATCTCTGCAAAGTGGGCAGGTAACATTAGACCCACCTTCAAGAAGAGCTATATTCTACAAACCGGATTCAAAAAACTTGGGACACTAAACAAATTGTGAATAAAAACTGAATGCAATGATGTGGAGGTGCCAACATCTAATATTTTATTCAGAATAGAACACAAATCACAGATCAAAAGTTCAAACTGAGAGAATGTATCATTTTAAGGGAAAAATCTGTTGTTTCCAAATTTCATGGCGTCAACAAATCCCAAAAAAGTTGGGACAAGTCCATTTTTACCGCTGTGTGGCATCCCCCCTTCTTCTTACAACGCTCAACAGACGTCTGGGGACAGAGGAGACCAGTTTCTCAAGTTTAGACATAGGAACGCTCTCCCATTCATGTCTAATACAGGCCTCTAACTGTTCAATCATCTTGGGCCTTCTTTGTCGCACCTTCCTCTTTATGATGTGCCAAATGTTCTCTATAGGTGAAAGATCTGGACTGCAGGCTGGCCATTTCAGTACCCGGATCCTTCTCCTACGTAGCCATGATGTTGTGATTGCTGCAGAATGTGGTCTGGCATTATCGTGTTGAAAGATGCAGGGTCTTCCCTGAAAGAGATGACGTCTAGATGGGAGCATATGTTGTTCTAGAACCTGAACATAGTTCTCTGCATTAATGGTGCCTTTCCAGACATGCAAGCTGCCCATGCCACAAGCGCTCATGCAACCCCATACCATCAGTGATGCAGGCTTCTGAACGGAGCGTTGATAACAACTTGGGCTATCCTTGTCCTCTCTGGTCCGGATGACATGGCGTCCCAAAGAACTTCAAATCGTGACTCATCTGACCACAGAACAGTCTTCCATTTTGCCACACTCCATTTTAAATGACCCCTGGCCCAGTGCAAACGTCTGAGCTTGTGGAGCTTGCTTAGAAATGGCTTCCTCTTTGCACTGTAGAGTTTCAGCTGGCAACGGCAGATGGCACGGTGGATTGTGTTCACTGACAATGCTTTCTGGAAGTATTCCTGAGTCCATTCTGTTATTTCCTTGACAGTGGCATTCCTGTTTGAGGTGCAGTGACGTTTAAGAGCCCGGAGATCACGAGCATCCAGTAGAGTTTTACGGCCTTGACCCTTACGCACAGCGATTGTTCCAGATTCTCAGAATCTTTTGATGATGTTATGCACGGTTGATGATGATAACTTAAAAGTCTTTACTATTTTACGCTGGGTAACACCATTCTGGTATTGCTGCACTATCTTTCTGCGCAACAATGGTGGAATTGGTGATCCCCTTACCATCTTGGCTTCTGAGAGACACTGACACTCTGAGAAGCTCTTTTTATACCCAATCATGTTGTCAATTGACCTAATTAGTGTTAATTGGTCTTCCAGCTGTTCGTTATATGCTCAATTTCCTTTTTCCAGCCACTTATTGCTACTTGTCCCAACTTTTTTGGGATTTGCTGACTCTGTGAAATTTTGAATCAACATATTTTTCCTTTAAAATGTTACATTTACTCAGATTAAACTTTTGATCTGTCATCTATGTTATATTACGAATAAAATATTGACATTTGCCATCTCCACATCATTGCATTCAGTTTTTATTCACAATTTGTTTAGTGTCCCAACTTTTTTGGAATCCGGTTTGTAGTATATATGTCACTGAGCTGGGCGCACCCGCAGCACTGCTAACACACCCAAAATGGATTCCACCGAGGAAAGTCAGCCAGAAGACACAGTACGTGCCACCCACGGCCTTATTGAAAGACTATTGAAAGACTTCAGTACAGCAGGACAGATTCTCACTCCCATAAGAGCCAGACTGGACTTAAAAAAACTTTGAAAACCAACTTCTTCTGAACTTGAACAAGAAATTCTTGCTGCAATATTAAAATGTGTCAGTTCATGGGATGTTAGGAGACAAGTGATGTCTCCAAATGACTCGACACTCAGGTCCAAGTTTTGAAAATGGTGTCAGGAAGTTAAAATACTGTTCAATATTGATTCATTGCAAGGTTGAATACAGTAGTTTAACTAGAATTGATGACAAACTGCAGTTGAAATGATCAGTGCCTGTTCCTTTGTTAGCTAATGCTCCTTTTTTCAGGCAGACATCTTTTACTTAAATATGTTTACTGCAGTTAAAATGACACATTGGTTTGTGTTCAATAAAAACTTTTAAAAGATATAATCATTCCTCTTTCTTATTTTGATTAATGACATTTAACTCTGCATGTCATCCCTGAAATTCTGACGCACAGAATCACAAGTCCAAGTGTGAACTGTGTCACAGAGTAAACACAATAAAAACATGTATTATCTGCAGCATTGTTCATTAAAATGTCTCAACACTATTAATGTATTAATGTATTACAGACAATATACTGTACATATGGTAGGCAGACTTAATGATATTGTAGACCATTGCATTAGGTAATACATTCAGCAAGTACTTTTACTTTTAATACTTTAAGTATTTTTAAAAGCAAGTACTTATTTACTTTTACTTAAGTAAAAACGTTAATGTGGTACTTCTACTTTTACTAGAGTTCATTTTTGTCAGTTTATTTGTACTTTTACTTAAGTACAGTGTTTGAGTACTTTCTCCACCACTGTCTCCAGGTCACTTGCCTTAGGAGGGTATCTTCAGGGTTTGTGTCAACGGGGGTGGGGGTGGTGGAGAAGCGGAGAACTACATCTGTATTGCACGCGCTAGCTTAGTGCTACGTCAGTGTCGGCAGTTGTCGACGAGGTGTGTTAGCAAAGCGCTATGTTTATATTGCGCACGGTTTGGAGTCTGACCTGAGCTGCTAAACTCCGTTCCCTGTCCGAAGTGGCGGAGCAGAGTCGTGTTAAAGACGTGAGCTGGCTGCGAGCCACCAGATCCGGAAACCCCCTCCAGCCCACGTCCTTACCCCCGGCTCGAACCTTCCTCAGAAGTGGCAACTATAGTAATCAATAAATCAAGGAAACGTCAATTAAGTTTTATCAACTATATTAGAAAAAGGCAGTAAAAGATTACAATTTACAGCACTGGACTCTATTCAGTCTGTGACGTGTTCACAGACCTGGAAGAAAGAGCCCCTATGTCTCGTGTCATCATTAATTTATAGGGCCATAGACTCCGCCCTTCGCAGAAGGGGAGCTCAACCTGTCAGTGTATGAGGGGGCGTGGCTAAGTTTGATCTTATGTGGACTGACATAATAATAATAATAATAATACTTTATTTATAAAGCCCTTTAAAACAACCACAGCTGCCACAAAGTGCTGTACATATAAAATCAAGAACATTTAAACACATAAAAACAGTTGTTAAAACATTAAGATCAACAAAAGTAATAAAAACAGTGCAGAGTAAATTCAGTCTGTGCTAAAAGCCAGGAAGTAAAAATGTGTTTTTAAAAGCGTTTTAAAACTGGACAGTGAAGGGGCTTGTCTGATGGGAAGAGGGAGATCATTCCACAGTCTTGGAGCAGCAACAGAAAAAGCTCTGTCCCCTCTGAGCCTCCGCTTAGACCTCGACACCTCCAGGAGCAGCTGATCAGCTGATCTGAGGCACCGAGCAGGAGAGTATGGGTGAAGCAGCTCAGAGAGGTAGGATGGAGCAAGACCATTTAAACTTTTAAAAACAAATAAAAGAATCTTAAAATGAACTCTAAAATGAACAGGCAGCCAGTGGAGTGAAGCCAGAGTGGGGGTGATGTGCTCCCTTTTTTGAACTCCAGTTAGAAGCCGAGCAGCAGCGTTCTGGACCAACTGGAGGCGTCTGAGGGAGGACTGGCTGACTCCAAGGTAAAGAGCGTTACAGTAATCCAGCCGAGAGGTGACGAAGGCATGGATTACTGTTTCCAGCTGCTGTTTTGTAAGGATGGTCTTTACCTTAGCCAGCTGTCTGAGGTGATAAAAACTGGTCTTGACCACCGCTCCAATCTGGGACTCTAATTTAAAATCACTGTCCATTTTAAAACCCAAGTTAGAAATAGTTTTCTTTACATGTGGTGCCAGAGGGCCCAGATCAACAGGGCAAGGTTCACAAGAGCCACTAGGACCAAACACCATCACTTCTGTTTTTTTTTCATTGAAATTTAAGAAGTTTAAAGACATCCAGGCTTTGATGTCTTCAAGACACAACAGAAGTGGCCTAATTGAGGGGGCATCTTTCTTTTGAAGTGGCATATAGATCTGACTATCGTCAGCGTAACAATGAAAAAAGATCCCATGCTTTCTAAGGATTGATCCCAATGGAAGCAGGTAAAGGGAGAAAAGCAGGGGACCTAAAATAGTTAGGAAAAATATGAAACGGTGCTTCAAAGCCTTTCTAGTGATGTGGCAAGCTGATTAAACTATTTCTTGACAGATATTGAATTATTAGGGAGACTCTCTTAAGAGTTTGCTGGCCCAATTTAACCCAGTCAGAACCGGGTCATAATTTCATTATAATCCCGTCTCTGAGCAGATCAAAACATAGGACCAGTCTAAATAGGAAATATCTTAACAGTCGGGGTTGGAGGATTTGGTAGATGGGGCGTTCGGTTCTGTTGGGGTGGAGCGCCCACCTTGGACAGGTAACACTGTAGGCTCTGAAGTGGGCTGATTTGACTAACAGAGGTGAGCTGGCTCATGCCAGGGCTGCAGGTGTTTATAAAACTGACACCACCATGTGTCTTACAGTGAGTCCAGAGACAGTCCACCAACAGCCCACAAACTGCCCACGGACAGTCTACAGACAGAACACAGACAGTCCACGTACAGTCCACAGACAGCACACATACAGTCTACAGACAGCAAACAGACAGTCTACAGACAGTCCACAGACAGCACACGGACAGCCCTCAAACAGTCCACAGACAGCCCACGTACAGTCCACAGACAGCACACATACAGTCTACAGACAGTCCACAGACAGCACACAGACAGTCTACAGACAGTCCACAGACAGCACACGGACAGCCCTCAAACAGTCCACAGACAGCCCACGTACAGTCTACAGACAGCACACAGACAGTCCACGTACAGTCTACAGACAGCACACAGACAGTCCACGTACAGTCTA